GTAACAGCATTAAGGAAAACACTGGAACCTGCTCAGCCAGGCCAGGTTTAACTGACATATCTGTTCCTCTGCTCACTCCACATGAAGCAACTAACTCATTCCAAAGTCTCTGCCTTTAATGCAATGCCTTGATTTGGACAAGCTTAAAGGAAACCCTGATAATGAGGTGGGACACTGATAGGAGTAGTCATTATTTATCAATTTAACAACTGTTGCACTGTATAACTTGTCTCATTTGACTTCACAACAGTGCTGTATGTTGGACAAGATTTTTAAAAACACACTATTTCTATTTTTCCTAAAAGGAAACCAAGGTCCAAGGATGCACAAGGCATGCATGGATCGTAGAACTTATAGACAGAAGAGTTGGCAGATGATTCTAGGATATCTGGCCCAAGAATCAGAGCTCAGACAAAGAAGACCCTCTGTCATTTACCTTCTGACTCAAATGAAACTACGAAAGCCTTGAACACCTAGAGTATCTAGATCATCTCAGCAGCTTCCCAGGATTGATGCTTCTGTGTGGCATTTAATTATTCATTCAGTAAATATGCAGCAAGCTTCTAGAGGTTTCAGGCACTAGGGACACAGAAGAGAACAGAGCCAAAACTATTTCCTGACTACCTAGAGCTTGTAACTTAGTGGATGAGAAATCCATTGAATAGAAAATCTTCAAAAACCAATTACAATTTGAGATGGGTTGTAGATGTGAAGTTAAGAAACAAACTATAAGGGGGACCCACACCCAGTTTGGGTGATTAGAGAAGACATCACTGATGAAATCATATTTATCAAATTGAAACTTAAGTAATCAGCCAATGCAGTGGGTACACTTCTTCTCCAGAGGCTGAAGCAGAAAGTTCAAGACCAGCCTGAGTAACATAGACACACCTTATTAAAGAATGAAGGAAGGAAAGAAAAAAGGAAGGGAGGGAGGAAGGGAGGGAGGGAGGGAGAGAGGGAGGGAGGGAGGCAGGCAGGCAGGCAGGCAGGCAGGCAGAAAGGCAGGAAGGCAGGAAGGAAGGAAGGAAGGAAAGCAGGAAGGAAGGAAGGCAGGAAGGAAGGAAGGAAGGCAGGAAGGAATGATTAAAGAGGAATCTGGGGGTGAGCTGAACAGTCAGATGAGAACCTGAGGAACCACCTCTTTCTAAGCCAGCTTTGGATGGATGTGCTTGAATTAAAACTGGACTCCTGAGAAGTTGTGGATGATTATGGAGTTGCTTTCCCATTCCTCTTAGATATTTTAGGGACATCTGGAGGGAGGACAGTGGCCAACATGGAGCCATTATGTCTAAGAAAGACAAAGATGTTCCCTTATTAGAGGGCTCTCTGTGTGTGGGGGGCAAGAGGGTTCAGTGGGGTATTGACCTCAGCTGGAGGTTTCTAGAAGTCAAGGTGCAATGGGAAATTCATTGTGTTTTTCTGTTTTAGCTTCAGCAACAAAATATTAAAGTGAAAGTCAAATGAGCGCTGCCAAGACCAATGAGTTCTGAAAGTCAGTTGGGCTGAGAAGGCTATATTGTCTACTAAGAGTACATTGTGTCCTAAGCAAGTGCTGCCCCTGTGAAGGAAGATAACAAGGTTTCAGATAGTCTGTCCTCTGATGTCCAAGCTTAAGGCAGAAGAATAAAGAAACACAGTTTGTTTCAGACCTTCCCTGGAGGAACAGAATACATTTGTCCTAGGGCTGCACTGCAAGAACTTTTCAATGGCGAGTGGCTGAGAGCTGCGGAAAATACCACATTCAGCTGGGAAGCCAACCCACCTGGTGAATAAGTAAGTCCATTTCTTTTCTTCCCATACAAAGAGATAGTTGCTTTGTTTTTGCCCTTCAGGAATTGTGAGCTGGATGCCCACAAGGATGGAAATTCTTAAGTCCTTGTTAGAAAATGTCTTGGAATCTTGGGGGGCCTTATTGAGGGGGACAAGAAATGGTTTATTGCCCCGTATAGCACATGGAGTGAAGGTGAAACTCCACATGCACAGAGCAGCAAGTGGCTGGGTGTTACAAGATGCCTGTCCCTGACTCAGCTGCATCAATGGGGGAAGGCCCCTTGGGCCTTGCAGACAGTTGAGATGTTCCATTGGTTCACCTGTATCCCTAGACCAGAATCAGGTTAAGCTGGAATTCAGCAGGATGTTCATGAAGTGTTTAAAAGTTGAGTAGAAATAAAGGAAATATCTTTAGACAAAGGTTGGGAAACAGAATGACAGCTGTTCTAGAAGGACATTGCGTGTGGGCCAGCTGCTTTTTGTACAGTTGGGATCTCAAAGGTGGTCTCCCAAAACTTCGTCTGTACTGTACACTTTTTTTTCCTGTGATCATTACACTTGAATATGTGAACCATTACCAAGTATCTCGGCCATATAATCTTATGCACAGAATTTGTTCCAGAATGTTCCCTGCCCAAATATGAACAAATTATCTTTCTCTCCATATTCTTCTCCTGTTATGTGCTCTGGTTTAAGAAATAACACTGCCGTCTTCAGTTAACAAACTAGAAACCCAGGAGTAATGATCACTAAAATAATCATTTTCTAAGTGTACAAAGTTTTTGTAATGGTGTGTCTACTTCTGTGATTTCCACTGTGCTGTGGGAATGAAATCACAGCAGTCCATTCAGAAGGGCTTCTTTCACTCAGCCTAAAGCACTAACAGTCATCTGGACCGATATGCAGATCAGTACTTTCTTGCTCGTCCGTGAATCATATTCCAATGGACGAATGGTCATGATTTAGTTAGTTTTCCTCACTCGTGGGATGTTTGAGTTGTTTCCAGTTTTTGTTTGACACTTGAGAGTGAAGCTGCTCTAAGCGTTAAGATTCAAGTTTTTGCGTGAGCATGTGTTTGTTTGCATTTCACTTGGGTCAACAGCTCAGAGAGGACTGCTGGGTCACGTGTATCTTAAACCTACACTTCTTCTAAAGTGTTTGCATGTGGCTTCCAAACTGGCAGTACCAGGTTGCTTTCCTAGCAGTGTTGTATAAAACCTGCAGTGTAACAATGCTCGATAGGAAGTGGACTCATTACCTTGCTCATGTAACTGTAACCCCTTTGTACAGTATCTTTACAATAAAAAATATATATTTAAAAAAAAACCTGCAGTGATTCAACCTCACCAGGGCTCAGTCTGTCAGCTTGGGTTTTCTATTTAGTTTTTTGTATGATAGTGATTTAAATAGATGTGAGTACAGAGGTTCAGGCTCTGCAAGCAAGCAAGTGGAAAAGGAGGCCATAAGAGAAATAGGATGACACACTCCCTTTCATTGAGCAGCCCCACAGAATCCATCTCCACTCATGTGGTCATTCCTGGTGATCACCGGGCCACTCCCCTCACCCTTGCCAACTCGGTCGACTCTGCAGATCTGAGGGGTGCACACTGAAGGGTCTACTGAGGCGCCCTCTATGGACAGAACTAAATTTTGGAGCCATAGGGAGTAGGGAGGAGATAGCACTTGTGTGTTTTCAAAGACAGAATGGGGCGGGGCTCCAGGCACCTGGCCAGATGTGATAAGTCCTGACTACTGCTTCAGCAGCAGAAAGCGGTGAAGATTTCAGTCTCAGAAACTCACTGCAGGTATGTGGATTGGAGGGCACATCTTGTCACGCCAACACTAACTCCTACATGTCGATCCACCCTGCAAAACACAGCCTTGGTCAAGTTTGTGGAGCAAAGAGGACCCAACGCTGTGACTGGTCCAGGTAAGAGCTGCAGGATGAGAGAGGAAGCCTTCCACGGCATAAAGGGTACTCAGATAATAGAATTCCCCGGCAGAGCCACAGGGGGTGGCTGTTACTTGTCAGAACTGCAAACAATCCAGGCTTGTGAGTTTTTACTTGAAGTTGTCTAGTCAGCCAATGCTTCACCTGCACCTTTGCTCTCCTCTCCTCCTCCCTCCCTGATTCCTCCTTCTATCTCAAGAACCCCCAAAAGTCAGATTGCTAATATGAGGTCTTTGGAGGGATTCAGCCAAGAAATGTCACCCCTACGTTTCAAATGAGAGTTGGAGTAGGTGTCAGGGAGCCAGTGTTCTTGGTCCCCAAGACAGATTCTCACGTGAGCTGCATCCTCACTCTGTCTTCCAGATGCCAGGAACCGTGAAGGATTGAAGGAAGAGGAGGCATCCCGGGAGCAGACAGAGCCAGGCCTTCCTAGTAGAGGGAGGTGTCCAGGAGCTGCCAAAACTCAAGGTGATGAAAGAGGGGAAGCTCTCACAAAACACATGGGACCCCAGCCCCAACCTGCCGCTGCCATCCGCTGGCGAATTGGCCTCTCCTCTCTTCCTCTTCTTGTGTCTCACACAAAAAGGGCTTTGGCATAAGGAAAATAGCTTTGAGTACTCAGACAGGAATTTCAAACCTTGCCAATTATCAAGATGATTTCCTCAGACTGTCCCTCATTGATAAGGCCCATATGTAATCTATGTACCTCTTTTTGACACAGCTGGACAGATATAGTAATAGGTGACCTTCTGCCCTGCCTTTTGTAACATCTTCTTGTTCTGAGTTGGCTTCAGACCTGCAGAGGGTTGGCAGTCCATACCGTGCACAGACTGGTTATCCACCACAGAACAGTAAGGAACCCACAGAGAAAGAGGGAGTACTCTTTACCCAACATATGCAACAGTAATCCCTCTGTACTTCACGTTTAGAATAACAAGACTTTAAAAAAGTCAAAGTGAGATGCACAATCTGAACAGGTACCAGTGGCCCACCCACCCCCAAACAGGAAACTCCCACATTACAGCCCCAGAACTTCAAGCTCTGGGAGCCACCTGCCCCATGAGAAGCCACACCATTCCTTCCTCAGGCTCTCAGGGAACAGACCACCAGGAAGCCAGGAGCCTGCCCCCCCCCCCCCAAGAAAACACCAGCAATAAAGCATTTGCTAGAACACCAAGGGTGGAGTTCTAGGCTGCGTCCACTCACGTGCTCCCTCTCTCCTCAGGTCTGGGAGTCTGCATCACCAAGTTCTTGCCTGCTGTGCCCAACGACAGCCATGATACCGTATCGTCAGAGAAGCTGGCAGGGCGAGTTTGAGGAAGACTCTCAAGACTGGAGAGAGGCGCGGCAGGGCCTGGTGGGTGGGTCCCCGGTCCTGGTGGCTGAGGAGGAGAAAGAGATGGAGCAGGGGGAAGAGGAGATGGCCACTATCTCTTCCCACAGCACTGCTGTGATCCCAGCCACTCCAAGGGTGGTGCCTGCTACTGGGGTACCAAGTGCTCCCCAGAGTCCTCCAAGAGCCTCCTCTCCCCCCATTGAGTTGGTTTCTATTACACAGAACCAAGTCAATCAGGGCTCCAGGAGCCGAGTAGTGGACCGACTGTTCCCCAGGGGTGGTCTGGTAGATCCTGAATCCTTGTTGACAAATTCCATACCCTTAGTACTCTTCTTGCTTATCAAGTATGGAATGAAGGATCTGATCACCAAAGTAGAAATGTTGAATGTCATTAGAAATCACCATAATTACTTCTCTATGATTTTGCGCAGAGCTGCTGATTGTATGCAGCTGATCTTTGGCATTGATGTGAACGAAGTGGACCCCATCAACCATTCCTATGTCCTTGTCACTTCCCTGGGGATTACGTATGATGGGTTGCAGAGTGATGTCCAGGGCATGCCCAAGACAGGCCTTCTGATTATGATCTTGTGTATCATCTTCATGAAAGGCAACTGTGTCTCTGAAGAGGAAGTCTGGGAATCACTGAATAAGATGGGGGTGTGGTCTGACAGGGAGCACTACCTGTCTGGGAATCCCAGGAAGTTAATCACTGAAGATTTTGTGCGGGAACAGTATCTGGAGTACCGGCAGGTGCCCAACAGTGATCCTGTTTGCTATGAGTTCCTGTGGGGCCCAAGGGCCCATGCGGAAACCAGCAAGATGAAAGTCCTAAAACACTGGGCCAAATTTAGTAGGTGTCATCCAACCAGCTTCCCTGCCCTGTATGAAGAAGCATTGAGAGAGGAGGAACAGGGTCTCTAAGATTTAAGTCATAATCAAAGCCACTCATGGCCCAAAGGCAATGGCACATGAGGCCCACTGTTTGAAGACAGGAGTCAGCCTTCTTAGCGAGTTGAGTTGAACACTTGGGGCACCATATGTGGGTAACTTCAAGTTGACTAATATTTCCTTCAGAATTGTTGAGCCGTCCTTTTTGATTAAGAATTGATTCAACTTCATAATGAAAAGTTATAAATGACAATAATCACCTATGTATTGCTGTTAAGAGAGTTTAGGAGTGAGTGTTTCTAACTGTTCAATCAACAAAGAAACCATGTCATTTTGTCACTTGCCAATGTGTTAACATGCAGTGTAGTATGTGATTCCTTGGAAATGGGAAATAAATTATCGGTGAAACAGACAAATATAAAGAAATGGAGAAATGAAATGTTAATTTTTCCCTTTCTTCAACTGACTTCCCTGTAACTTTAAAAAAATGTATGTTGCTCTGGATTTTTCTGGGCTCTAACTTGAATGTAGATGAAATTAAATCTTAATAAATGTGTTCCCCAACTTACTGTTCCATTTATTCTTCAGCCCTTCATTGAGCACCTGCTCTTTGGAAGATCTTTGATTACTGGCGGAGGTATTAGTAAATTGGGTTCGGTCCGGCCCACATTTTCTCATTGGATGATGGTGTCTAGGAGTAGCACTCATGTCAGGGGGTGTTGAGATGTCCTCAAAGATGAAAAGAACACATGAAGTAGGGATGAGGAGGCAGGGATCCAAGGACAGCAACCCATGGTCAATGTCCATAGCCAAGGAACATCACAGCCTGTGGAAACTGCAGTTCTTCCAATGGGAGTTTATTGTTGTGAGGCTTCATGGTGATGGGGAGCAAATCATTTGAAAACATGACTCAGGCCTGAGAGAATGGGAAAAGACTCTGAGCAGTTCCCTTTGCATCCTGGATGAGGTGGAGAGGAACTTCTTCCTGGGGCACACATGAAGGGTGAGGCAGAGCTCAGCACAAAAACCAGGCAGTTTTGAATCCAGATTTGTAGACCAGGGCCAGAGTCCAGGGACCTCCAGTTAGGTGGTCCAGCTCCTCATCTTTGCATGTCAAACAGTAAAACATGGTGAAGACAGAGAAAGGAAATGTATTATATTGCAGCCATGGGAAGACAGCACTTCACTACTTTGTGCCATCGGTTGCCCTGGTTCTCAGGCCTTCGGGCATACACTGGAATTATGCGGCTGGGTTTCCTAGGCTTCAAAGTCACAGGATATCCCAGTCTTCATAATCATGTATGCAAATCATTCAAACGAATGCTTATGCCACCTATGTGTGTCTGTGTGTGTTTACTATATTGATTGTTTCTTTGTGCAAATATGTATAAAAATCCTTAATCAGCCAGGCGCTGATGGCTCACACCTCTAATCCTAGCTACTCAGGAGGCTGAGATCTGAGGATCTCGGTTCAAAGCCAGCCTGGGCAGGAAAGTCTGTGAGATTCTTATCTCCAATAAACCACCAGAAAACCAGAAGTGGCGCTGTGGCTCAAGTGGTAGAGCACTAGCCTTGAGCTGAATAGCTGAGGGACAGCACCCAGGCCCAGAATTCAAGCCCCACAACGGACAAAAAAAAAAAAATTCCTTAATCATACATACAAACATGGCATACAAGTACTAAATTGAAACAGGACATAGGCTAAAATGTAAAAGCAAAAATTATAAAACTTCTGGAAGAAACTAGAGGAAAAATGCCATTGTACTCATACTTTAGGCAAATTTTTTACACCAAGCAGCAATTCATAAATGAACAAAGTGGCAAAGTAGCCTTTATCTAAGTCCAAAACTCCTATTCTTTGAGGAACATTGTTATGAGGCTTAAAAAATACAAGTTACTGCAAAGACAAAATATATTCAAGGTAAAATAAATTGTGTGCAGATATATAAAGGGTTCTTAAGATTCAGAAGCAAGAAACAAACACTTCACTTTTTAAGTGGAGTTAAAATTTTGAAGAGAAACTGCAAGTAAAATATACATTTAAAATGTATGAATGGTTAGTAAACACATGAAGAGATGCCAAAATGATGAATGAAGAGATAGGTGGGACAGTGCAGTCAATGCACAAATGTGAGAATGGAACCAGATAAATTGAGAGAATAAGTGAGGCTTGGAGAAAGGGGAGAATGATGGAAGGAGTGACATTAACCAAAATAGAGATCCATTGTGCTCACAAAATGATTTGTGATGTGAAAGCCCTTTGTGCAACTACTTGAAGATAATAATAAAAAATAAAAGCAGAGTCTTAAAACCAAGTTTAAAACACGTCTACAATATTATTTAGACAACCCACGCCTTGGTATTTATTCAACAAAGCTGCAAGCACATGTTTACACAGGACTTGTACACAAATGTTCCCCACAGCCTTGTTTGTGACAGTCACAAACCAGAAGCTTTACAGATGGCACTAGCAGATGAATGGATTACAAAAGCAAGAAAAAAAGAAGAAACTATTGACATGGTCCACACAGGTCAATCTTAAGATAAGTATGCTAACTGAAACAAGACTAAAAAGAAAAATCAGACAATCGAGAATGATTCCATTTACATAATCATCTGGAAAATGTAAAGGAATCTATAAAGACAGAAAGTTGCTAGTGGCTACCTGAAAACTGGAAGTGGGGGAGGGCAGGAGTCAGAGGATTACTCAGAAGCTTGAGGAAGATTTGGGGATAACGGTTTTCCTGGATGAATATAGGTGTCAAGTATATGTAGTTTCGTATATGTACAGCAACAAGCCATTAATAATAATGGTAAAGGCAATCATCATCATCACCACCACCACCACCACCACCACCACCACCATCATCACCATCATCATAATCATCATCATCATCATTATTATCATCTTCATCATCACCCTTGATCAAAATAGATCATTTCTCTTAGGTCTAGCTCCAACTTTGGTCTACTGTGAGAACTTATCTACTGGCCAGCCTGATAATGATGAAAACAAAAGTTCTTTGTGTTACTGAACATTTACTCTGTTCCTGGCACAGTGCTAGCTGCTTGTACAGGTATTAGCATGTGTGAGTCTCATGGAAAACTTGGGAGGAAAGTAAGAGATTATGAAGATTGCAGATGCTGGCCTTCCTGCCCTGTTAATGACAACAATGTACTCAAGGGGGAAAAGCCAAAGACTTCGCATATGCTAGTGACTGAGTCCTTTGGCCAGGCCTTGAAAGGGCAGAAGGTGAGCATTTCCAGAACTAGAGCTCACATCATAAACAGTACAGGAAACCCACTTCACTTTCAATGTGTCACAATTTTGAGAATCAATTCCCTTGACACACAGAAAATCAGATGTAACGCTGTTTGAGTTCTGAAATAGCTGTAGAACTTTAGTTACTACTTCCACATGAACCTTCCTGGAGATTCTGCTGTACTTCCCTACTAGTTACAAAAAAATCTCCCCAAGTAACATTCATGATCAAACTCAAACTCTGGACTCAGTCACTTCTTAACAACTCTACACTTCATCATCTTCTAAAATCTTCCTTATAATCATCATTTTATAATTTTCACAAAAGAACAAGAATTCGAATTCCAATTTAGCTGCTCATACTCACTATAATTTAGTCAATTATGGGCTTTCTACTATCAAAAGACTGATAATAAAGTGTGGATAAGGATGTGGAAATTGCAACTGTCATGCATTTAAGTTTGAATGTAAAATGGTGTGTTCACTTTGGGAAACAGTTTGGCAGTTCCTTAAAAGGAACAGTTAGCATATGACATTGCAATTCTACTTGTAGCTAAATAGGCAAGAGAAATTCAAGCATATCTCTACACAAAGACTGGCACACAAAGGCTTATATCAGCATTATTTACAATAGGTAGAAATGATGTATATGTCCATCAGTGAATGAATGAATGATTGAATAAACAAAATGTTGTATATTCATAAAATGGGAGACTATTTACACATAAAAAGGAAGGATGAAGCCAGGGGCCAGTGGCTCATGCCTGTAATCCTAGCTACTCCAGAGGCTGGCACCAAAAGGATCACAGTTTGAAGGCAACCTGGACAGAAAAGTCTGCAATTTATAATTAATCAGAAAAATACTGGACAGGAGGCATGATCCAAGTGGTATAGTATCTGCCATAAGCAAGCAAGCATAATGAGGCCCTGAGTTCAAAGCCCAGTACCAATACAAAAAAGGATGGGTTGATATCTCATTCTTCAAAACATGCTAATTGAAAGACAGCAGACACTAAAGTCACATAATATATGATTTCCATTCATATGTAAAGTCCAGACACATGCTGGAAATAAAATCATAGCCACTCAGGAGTCTGAGATCTGAGGATTATGGTTCAAAGTTAGCCAGGTCAAAAGTCTATGAGACTCTTATCTCCAATTAGTCACCAAAAAACCAGAAGTGGAGTTGTGGGCCAAGTGGTAGACTGCCAGCCTTGAGTTAACGAAGTCAAGTGAGAGGTTAAAATCCTGAAGTCCAGTAGGGACCAATTAAGTTTTCTCTTAATCTGCTAGCTTGTTTCTAAAGTGGTGGGGATGAAACTCCCGCTTCGAACACACTACAAAGGTGCTCTGCAACTGAACCATGCTCACAATGCTTACACAGGCAAACTTAAGATAAAAAGTCAACTGGTGATTGCCAGGGGTATAGGAATGGGAGAAAAAATAAGTGACTGTAGATTTACTTTTTAATTGAAAATACATTAAATTTGATTATGAGGGTGGTGTCAACACTTGTAGCAGCTTTCTGATATTCATTCTGTCAAACTGTCTACTCTGTTCAAAGGCATTTCACTCCTGTATATACTATACTTTGGTCAGCTTGGTCACGTGTATATGTGCATGTTCCTGTGTGGCTTTACATGTGAGGTTGTATTTTGAGTCTAAAATCTGCACATGAGAGAAAACATAAGCCCTTTGTGTTTCTGAGCCTAGCTTACTTTACTCAGAATGATTTTTCCTGATCTACTGTCAATGACGATTTTTATAGTAA